TTAGATTTTACTTTAACTATTTAGTGCAAGGGCCTGCCTGGTGTTCTTCAGGCTTAACCTCATATAATATTGTTTTTGGTAAATCTAAAGGAAAATTGTATGGCCAGCTTTATTCTTAACCCTGAATCTTCTGCCCCAAAGTTCCAATTTTGGAAGAGTATTGCTTAATATGCTTTTTATAACACTTTTCGGTTTTTGGGAGAATAACCCTTTTGCCTTTTCTCTATTTAAATGTCATAGACTTTAGTATTTTTGTGAGACATGTTGCTGCAACTATAGCATAATAGTGTTGGGCTATTATAAGAGTGATGAAAAGTAGTCATGGTTATAATAACAAAATATGCTACTGTTACGTCAAGTTCACTGTTGAGGGACTGAGCTAGGGAATTCATCCGACTGCTATTGACAAAAAAATACATTTTTCCACACTATTATAAGTAACCCTACTGGGTCTTAGTCTTGTCATCTAATGAATCAGCAGTTCCAGAACAGCATTAGAATTAGAATAAGCTGAACTTGGATTTGTGTGAACATTTTTTTTTTTTTTCCATCATTACTTCCCTAGTTGCTATGCTATTTTATTACTGATAAGTATTGTAATGTTAGGTACAGTATTCAAGCTGTCCAATTTGAACAAAATCAGTGCTATTCATCTGAACCCTTGACAGGAGCTAAAGGAAGCTGGATGCTTGGAGGACAGCGGAGTGGATGACAGGGCTGGACTATCAGTCTACTAATTCCAAAAGGGCTGATCAGACAACACATTTGTGGGCTACTCACTGAACTAGCCATATTGAAATAAATTCATATAGGATTTGCAAACTTTAAAGTATAACTAAAGGGGAAACTTTTTTCTCTTACTTTCATTGAAGGACACATCTTGTTAGTATTTTTGATTGTAGGGTTATAATGTCTCTTTCAGGATTAGGACACTAAGCAGAAAAAAAAAAATCACAGCATTGACTATGGGCAGTCCTAACTGGTAGTCAACCCTCCCCCCTTTCCCATCTAAGATAGGTGGCTTGGTTTTTCCCTCTAGTGTAGGAGTGCGGACCTATTTCCTAACAGGGACTCTTAGTTCTTTCAGCTCTTCAGAAGCCTCCCTTTGAGAATATTAGGGATCTTCCCTTGGTGGCTCTCTCTTAGAAGGTCACCTTTTCGGCTGCATTCACCTCCGCATTCCAGGTGTCAATGCTGGCAGCCTTGTCTTGATAATATATATGTATGGTCTTACACAGGGATAAGGTGGCTCTGCATCCATGTCCCACATTTTTGCAGAAGGTGGTGTCCACTTTTAACTGAATGAAGACATCGTTCTTCCATCCCTGTGCCCATGCCCCTTCCGTCCTGGAGAAATTAGGTTTCACACCTTGTATGTATTAGGGTGTATCTTTCTGCTACGACTTCCTTTCGTACGCCAGACCCTCTTTTTGTGATCATGGACAGTCCATGTAAAGGTTTTGTAGTTCCGTCTGCCTCTATTTCGCGATGGATCAGACAGACTATTTTCCAGGCCTATGCCATTAAGGGTTATGGCTCCTCCTTTTCCTATCTCTGTGCACTCCACCGGGGCTATTGGGGCTTCTTGGGCCTTTTGGCATCGGATGTCTGTGTTTCAAGTTTGCAAGGTGGTTACTCGGTAGTCTGTTCACACTTTTACTAAATATTAATTATAGAGTTGATGTTTAGACATCATCAGATGCGTATTTTGGCCGCAGGGTTTTGCAGGTGGCTGATTGAGGTAACTTGCTCTCTTTATAGAGGGTTCTTGGGAGTGTTTTGCATGTTTTCTCTAGTTGCCCACCCCTCTTTAGGGCACTGCTTTGGGACGTCCCTACGGTCAAGAATACTGACAAATTGTGTTCTTCAATTAACGTAATAGAAACCAGATTTTTTTGTTAATTTTTTTGTTTGAAGGACACATCATCCACCCCTCTGTCATATCTTTTTTTTCTTCGTTCTGCTTTGTGACCAGCTGAGCTGCCCTATCGTAAATGGGGGATTGTCTACCAGTTTGGACTGCCCATAGACCATGCTGTGATCTTTTCTCTGGCATAGTGCCCTACTCTTGAAGGTGACACAATACCATACGGTCAAGAATATTGACAAGCTGTGAACTCAGAGAAGGGATTTTACGGTTGGTAAATAACAAAAAGTCAATTTTTTGGGGTAGCATAAGGGATTGTTATAACCCCTGTCAGTTATTTTCTTTTTTTGCCATCTGTGTCCCATTGGGGAGATTTCCCGTCACATCCTGTCTCATAGCCAAAACAAGAATTGGAGGAAATCCCTCAAAAATTATAGCATTCCTGGTTGTCACCAGATTTAGTGTCCCCATTGGAAGATTTCTCCTCTATTTTTTTTCTGGTGAAAGCCCAAAATTTGTGCATTTTCTTTCACTCCTGGTGATAATGCTAGACAGGACAAATAGAGAGGATGAATCTCCATAATGGGGGCACCGACAGCAATACAAATTGGATGGGTATTTCTAATCCTTCTCCACTCCATCCAAAACAGAAGAAAAAGGTTTTCCCTTTGGTATACTTTAAAGCAATTGCAAAGTGATTCTAAAGGTAAACAATTATTTTTTTTTTAAATAACAAAAATGCCATACTTACCTGCTATGTGCAGTAGTTTTGCACAGAGCAGCCCTGACCCTTCTGTTCTCGGGTCCCCTGCTGGTGTTCTTGGCTCCTCCTTCTTGCCGAGTGTCGCAAGTCACTTACTTTGGGGGCAGGAGTGCTCAATCGCAAGCCTGCTCGGTGTGTACATTGACAACCGTACACAACTCAGCCCTTCCCCCCGCTCCCTGCTCACTGGCTGTGATTCACAGCAGCAAGAGCCAATGTCTGCTGCAGCTGCCTCTCTGTTCAGTGAGGAGAGAGAGAGCTGCTGCTCTCATGCACAGTGATGGACTGAGACTGAGCTCAGGTAATTGTAAATGGAGGCTGGGAATGGGGGAGCTTCAGGTTTTACCTTGGTGCATAGAATGTATTAGGGTAAAAAAAAAACACCTACCTTTTAGAACAACTTTAAACCCAAAACCCAAAATGTAATATATCGCAGCTGACAAATTAATATATGTGGGGGCTGCAACTGTTTTCTTTCCTTTGCTTTTTTTTGCCCTGTGTTTTCACCTGGAGATCTGGCCAGTAACATGCCTTTTGTAAGTGCCCCCATTCTGGATGAAGGAGCACAGGGGGTACCAGCATTGTTAGTCTTGGGGAGGGGAGTGTTAAATGGATTAGCAGATTTAAGTACACTAACATTGAAGCCAAACTCCAGGTAATACTTTATAAGCTGTTACAGCAAGCATGTTTTTTTCCGTTTGGGATAAAGATTATACATAAAGAAATTTAAAAAAGGATCTTTGTAAACACCCTTGCTAGTGTTACATGGTTTGTCTCATCTCTGTAACTGATACATTGTGCTGGAGAGCTTGTTCTTTTGAAAAAACTACAGACTTACTGGCCAGATAGCCAGATGAAAAGAGGAGAAAGAAAGCTTAAAAAAGAAAATGAATGCTGCCATCACATCTGAGAAATGGTAAGCTTCAATATAATAAATGTTTGCTTTTGGATTTAATACTGCTTTAAAGCGGTAGTAAACTGTGGCCTTTAAAAAAATAAAACAAAAAAAAAAAAACCCTGCAAAGCAATGGCATAATGTTCTAATATGCAACAAATACTAGCACACTATGAAGTACTTACCTTAGAACGCTGTCACCCGCTGACAGGGCTTCTATCTTGACCCGGTCTTCCTTCCGGGTTCGTATGCTCCAGCCATCTTACTGGCCGAGCTGCAATGACATCACAGGTATGCTGTCCCTTTAGAGCACGTGTCGGTGACGTCACTGGCTGCATGCAGTGTGAATATCTACTATACAGTGTAAGTTTAGCAGATATTCATTGTAACTACAGGAAAGCCTTATTATAGTACAAGTTAAAAAAAACTTTACTTCCACTTTAACTTGTTGCAGCAACAGTCTTTCTATATGCACACAATTCCATTAAGTGATATAGTCTTACCTTTGAGTCTTCAGGGAATGTAGCTGGGGCACTAAGGTCATAAGCAACCATGTTACTGTGCACCAAAAAGGAATTCAGTTATGTAGTTCCTAAAAACAATTAATCTTACAACCTATTTATAGTTGTTATAATCCTCTATTGCTGTCTGTGTCCCAGCTGGGGAGACTTTCTGTTTCCTAATTATGGCTGTCACACGGAATAGGAAGTGAGGGTAAATCTCCCCAGTTGTGACACAGCACATAAAATATTTTGTTTGGCTGAGTGGGGAAACACATTGTGGCTCCTTTCTGTTTATTCAGATGTCAGAACGGGAAGTGGGGGAAATCTTTAGGGACAGACCACATCTAGTAGAGCTTTTAATCCTTCTTGCATGGAGCTGTCCCTGAAAATAAAGCATACAGTACCTTTCAGTTCTAACAAATGGCACACCTAAGACTGTGTGCCAGGGGCTGTTTTCTTAGCCTCCGGTTAGAACTGCCTGCCAGGCATTGTGCTCAACAAGAGTATTGCATGCTTGAACTGGAAAATCTGTTCAATTGTCCAACTGTTTTTTCACTTAGTGATCCGGACTGGTTATATAATAGTAGAGACCTTGTCTGCTTTATAGACGGAGCAAGAGCCTAATAAATCAAGTGACTTGATTGTTAGGAATGTCGGTAACTGCTCAAATGCCTGGTGAATTATGAAATCTTTGTTCTTCATTGCCTTGAAATTCATATATTCTATGTAAATGTGCTGCTGCAGTCACAGAGCTCATTAACCAGGATGATATCAAAGTGAATTTTTCTGTCAAAATGTATTCTGCTTTTATGCTGCAATTATAGTCCTCTCTCTGTTTTTGTGATGACAGCAAAATAAGCACAAAATATACTGTATACATAATAAGTGGTGTCACAAACAGCCGTGAGATAGCTTTCTGAAAGTTCTTTCTTTACTTTGTTCTCATGATTTTCTTTTTATTCTTGTTTAGAGAGGTATTTCTACTTGGACAAAGGAATTTTGAAGTATGCAAAAGGGCCAAACGAAGTAAGTTTAGTTCTATTGTATGTAGTAACTATATTATAAAAATAAAAAAGTAAAAAAATTACTGTGCAAAAGGTGCAAAAAATTGTGAAGAAGCAGCAGCACATGAAAAGGTACAGGGAATATCATATGACAAGGAACATAAAACATGTGCCGTGCTCATATAAAGTGCAAAGTAATCAAGTTTAAATGGTGTTAAAGTCCAACATTAAACAATTGTCCATATAAACATAAAAAATCTGTATCAACCAGTTCTTGTTTCACACGTGAAACACCCAGTGCTCCTTCCACCGAAGCACATCTATGTGCTCACCAAAATGTGTGTGACTCTCAATGTTTGGAGAAGTCAAAGTAGTATGCAGTTACTATAGTTGCAACCATGATGAAATGTTTTAATCAGGGTTCCCATCCAGTGGCTTATGGCTCACAGTTGGATTCCTAAATGCTGTCTGCAAAGCATGTTATGTAATACATTTACATCATCGTAAAATCATTCTTATATTGTGTCTATTATATTACTTTGTTAAAATGTTTAGAACTGTTCTTAAAGTATGTGTAAAGCCTACAATTGGATAGAGTAGGGCCGTTTTAAACCCCTTGCAGGATTTTATTTTTCTGTCTGGGAAATTAACATTCACTTCAGATCCCAGAGATACACATGGGAAAAAGGGGCGATCTATCTCTCCCACACGCACGCTGGGTATGAACATTTTTTTTTTCTGTTCAGCCAGCAGGCTGATCAAAAAAGAAATTAACGGATTCCCCATTCGCACAAGGTGGATGGTAGAATCCTCCCTGCTGCATTATTGTATTCTGACAGCGGGGACTCTCCCCTGTAAGAATACACTGATCAGCAGCCACAGTTGCTGATCATGGAAGGTTTTCCAGAGTACCCATTTGACACAGTTAAATAACGACTGGCAAATGTAGATTGAAATGCATCCGGTCCCTGCTGAACTGGCCGAATTTCAATCTGTCTGTGCCCACCTTTAGATGAGGTTCACCCATTACTGTTGATGTACAGTGCATTAAAAGCACACACTATTTTGCATCAACATGCACTGTACTGAATGGGTTGTCATGCAGCAGTCTGGAAATTGGACCTACACCTTTTTTTCACAACGTACCACACTGCAGTGCATATGGTGTGTTGCCTCACAGTGCACTGTGGTGTGGCAAACCTCTGTTGGCAAGGTACACTGGGGCGCCATTCAAAAAATTGCAGTGCATCGCAAGTAGAGTGGGATACCGGTCTATGCAATACTGAGCACAGGAACACACGCGTTCCTACAACATAACAGTGTGAATGGGGCCTTAGGCAGGTTGTCACTACAATCAGTTTACCCATTGGAGGATTTCCTTTCACCTTCTGTTTCTGTGACAATGCTGAATTTCCCATCACCTTCTATATCTGTATGCAGTGATCATTGCATTTCTTTGTTGTTGTTGCATTTATAATTTTTTTATTAGGAGCTTGTAAAGCATTGCACCCATGATCAGCAGTTACTGAATGACAGGAATAATCAATGAACTACCTAGAGCTCTCATCAGCGCCCTGGTAGTTCACTCAGAACTACAAATCATCAGCTGCAAAAGTGTGCACATTTTTTAAAAAATTGTGACAGCGGGTGCGGGGAGAAGATCCCCAGCCTTCAGGGGGATGCAAGGGACTGCTCATTTACTAACATGGTACACGTTACACCCTGCATACGGGTGTAACATGTTATGAAAATTAACTTTTTTTTTTTTTTAATGGCTAGCATTCCTGCCTTGCAGCACTAGGGTCATGCATTTACATCCCAACCACAGCAGTACCTGCATGGAGTTTGTATGCTCTCCCTGTGCTTGCATAGGTTTCCTCCAGGTACTTGTACCTCCAAGCCAAGCATTCATTTTAATGAACAGAAGAGGGAGGCAGGACAATGCTTTTCACTGCCTTGGCCACACAGCATTCTGGTATTCCTGACATCAACAGCTTGCCTGCTATCTTTTTCATTAATGTTCATTGTGCCCTCAGCTCTCAGAGAGTTTGAAGGTATGCACACCAGTCTGCTTGATGCAGGTAGAAAGGCAGCCCATTGTATTCTATGGATGTATCACATGACCGGATCGGAGCGCGCTGAAAATAGGTAAATATATACATCTTTCTTACACAAGTTGGTTTGCTTTGGTGTTGAAGCTGATTCACACATGTGCGGTGCAGATTGAAGCTCTGGTTTCACAGCTAAGTGATACTGTAGTTGTTCAGCCAATCATGTCAGGTTTACATCAGGTTCAGGACCGGATTAGCTCAGGATTTTATCCTGTTCACACATACATGGTTTAGAAATGGTTCCCATATAGAAGTCAATAGCCTGTAATTCGCACGTGAACCTGAAGGCACTGCTCAGAAATCATTCAGGACTCTTTTTCAAACTGCAGTAAAGCCGCATGGCCAGTGCAACGGACATATGTGAACAGGCACCATAGGAAGCCATGTTATTTAACATGTCATGCGAATTGGATGTGGTTCAAACCGCATCCAATCCGCATATATGTGAACCAGCACTTACAGTAAGGGCTCGTTCACACTTGCCTGTTTTTACCAACGCTTGCCAAACGCCCCTATAGCGTTTGGCAAGCGTTGGTCCGGCATTTGCGGAGCGTTTTTTAACGCTCGGCAAACGCTCTGCTAACTCCGCATGCACGATTTTAGCGGAAGTTGCTAGGCATTTGCCGAGCGTTAATAACTCTCCACAAACGCCTATAATGCAGTTTGAGTGGTGTTACCGCTCCGCAAACGTCCCGCAACCATGTCGCGGCACCATAGACGAGAATAGGAGGCTTCAACGCCTCCTGACTCGACCCGAGGCGTCCGTTTTGCCGCGACACAAACGCTCCCGTTAGAACAGCATCATGTGCTGTAATGTGCAGAATTGGCAGAGGCGTTTGGGAAGCGGTAAAAAACGCTTCCCAAATGCCTCTCTGCCGCCTGCCGCCAGCACACAACGCTAGTGTGAACGTAGCCTAAGAGTGGGGATCGAGCATTTTTAAAACTAGTTAGGTTTAGCCTAGAATTCTACTTTGTCTGTTATAATTTTTTATTGCTTGTATGTGTTTTATCCGATAACAGATGGAGAAGGGAAAACTACATGGCCGCATTGATGTTGGACTTTCTGTTATGTCAGTTAAAAAATCAACCAAATGCATTGATTTGGATACAGAGGAACATATATACCACCTCAAGGTAAGCAGAACAGCACTCCTATCATATTAAAATTGCTAATAATAGAAATAATTGTATTTTTAAACCTCACATTTCATCATATTAAAGTGTAAGTATAAACCCAAAAACAAAATCCGAATATACTGTAGCTTACCAGTCCGCAGATGTGATGGCTAGTTTGGTTTTCTTTTTTCAGGCTGAAAATATTTTTGGGGCACACAGAAAATACCAGAAATGTCTGTTTCTGTGTGCTAACCTGGAATCATAAAACAATGTTATCTTTCTAATGTAAACTACTAATCCCATCAATTCCTATGTAATAGAGATGAACAAAATCAGGCATGTTTGAAATCCAAGTTCCTGGTCAACTTGCCAGCCAGCTTGCCAACAACCGAATTATCTTGTCTAATAGTATGCGTTAAAAACAGGGGTTTAGTTAGCACACATTTGCAAATACAGACGTAAGCCACAGAGCCACGTCACGGCACCCCAATATTCTGTGGTCTTAACTCTACAAATTGCCTCTACTATGGGGGCTCTCAAAATTTGTAGAGTTAGGACCACAGAATATCAGGGTGCCGTGACGTGGCTCTGTGGCTTACGTATGCATTTGCAAATGTGTGCTAACTAAACCCCTGTTTTTAACGTATACAGACAGGTTAATTCGGCTGTTGGCAAGCTGGTTGACAAGTTGACCAGGAACTTTGTTTTCTCTTTTTTCTTTTCACATGTGTCGCCTGTTCATTTGTCTTTACTGCAGAAGCCGGTTATAGACTGGGGCAGTGGCCATTTTTTGTAATGTTTGAAATCCAGCCTGGGTGGCTAAATTCATTCCTCAATAGATACAATTGGGCGATGAGTGTAGCCACCCTGGGACAGACATTATATTATTTGCAAGATTGTCACATAAATATCCAATTTTAAAAAAAAGCCTGTAAAAAAGAAAAAAATAGCGGCAATAATTACATTTTTTGTTTTGGAGTTTAGATATGCTTTAATTACAGATTATTAGTTGTAATGACAATTTGTTCCGTGTTACTAAAATTCTGACAATTTAGAAATCTGCACGTTAGCACTAGTCTTACTAGATCAATGACTGCAAGTGCGGATGTTCAACATAAGTCGTAGGAAAGATCTGGATTGATAGAGGTTTTAGTAATCCTCCTCCTCTGGAATAGACCGTAAAATGAGCTTTAATGTTTGTCATACACTGTCAATGCACTATAAATGTATTCCCCAGACACAACAAAGATTTGAGCAGCACTTGAAATAACTAGGTATTATAAAGCAGTTAAGAGGGTGATAGGTTCTTGTAGATATGTTACCCATTGATTTTTATAGTACTTGAAATCCAGTATTGCTAGCAATGCTTTAATCGTCACTAGGGAAAATAGGGTATTATCTGGCTAGCTTTAGGCAGTGTGCTAGTTTAGAATGAATGATTGAATCCATCCTTTTATTCCAAAAGTGTGAAAAAAAACATCTTCCCCTAGGATTAATTCATCTTTAATCAAATCCATGCTGTGTTTAACTGACATTGGAAGATTTCAGCATAGTCACAGCATGATTATTTGGCATCTGCCATCTGACAGATGATGATGTGCACACATTTGTGGGTGCTTTCATTCTCTGCTTCTCTCAGCTAGTGCACACATTGATGCGTCGCCTCAGATCACACAAGTGAGCAGGTGGATAAACAGCAAGTTAGTCACTGTGATTACCCTTCAGCAAATCCACCCAGATGGCATCAAGAAAGATTAGAGCTCTGAGATGTGTTGCTCTTTTGGAGCTGTCTGTTAAAAATGTATATAAAGCTAAACTCTGAGCACAAAATCTTTCACTGAAATGTATCCCTCAACAGTCAAAAGAGATATAAATCTACTTTTGTGTCTTTGCAAACCCAGATAATACCTTGTAAAAGTAGCAGCATCATTCTCACTGGGCTGTACATAGCCTGTGCAGAGAGCAGAGGTGGGGGGGGGGGGGGGGGGGGGGGGGGGGGGCAAGCAGGCCCTACCCATTGCATGCTGTCTGCTGAAAACTGCAGGAGGGGGCAGAGACAATAGCAGTCACCCGGCACAAAGAGGGGACAAAAGTAATCGGTCTTTAATACAGAGCAGAAAAGTTTCACACTGAATTACTGTACAGATCTGAAGGAATATACAGTACAAAGCACACCAAGGATCAAGTAAGAGCACACAGGACTCTTGTATTTAGAATTAATATTTGCAGATCCCAGGCTTCGGTTTAGGGGCCAGTTCACAGTATATAAACGCAGTCCAGATGTGTTCCGGATGCGTTTCTGCATGCATGTTTTTTGGCACAGTTTTGACTCATTCTGGTGTATTTTTTATGCTTTCCGGTTAATTTTTTCCCCTCTCTTTTTCTTCAATTTAAATAGGGACATGTACATTCCAGTGTATTTTTGGTGCATTCCAGCACGTTTTGGATGCCGTTTACTGAATTCCAGTGCAGTTCTGTGCAGGAAAATGCACCCTGTTCTACTTTTTTTTTTCTGCATCCGGAACACACTGCAACTGCAAGCACCGATGTGAACTATTACATTGACAACCATATAACTTACTTTCTGTGCATTTTGGATGCAGAAAAAAAGCAACTGAAACGCATGTAGTGTGAACTGCCCCTTATGGAAGATCAGTGCATCCAACATATCTTTAGAAATACAGTATGGAGCAGTAATGATCATGATCCAGTTGTAGACCAGTAAGTATAGTGTATAGTTAACTTGTGGCAAGTTTTATACAGAAAATATGATTTTCTTCTTTTGGAAGCTATTCAGGTTATGCTCCCTGGCACATGTGGCGATGAGAGTGGAGTAAGTAGAGGGATGGCCTCCTCAGTCTTCTGCTGTTTCTTTGATCATTCTGCAAACTGGGGATGTGCTTCCACTTCTGTGGAGATGTGCAATCTGCTTGTGTTATGGGTAGAGTTGCCCAAATCACAGGACTGGCTGCTCAGATTTCCCTGGAGCTCAATTACAACTTAACTTTAACCTGTCACTGTATGTTAGTGCGCTCAATTGGATTTAATTAATAGAGAAGTAAAAACAGAGCCAGGGCGACACAGGAATTTTAATAACACATACCAATCAATTAGCATTTATCAGTCTAGAGAGGTCAGAAAAGTGAAATGTGTGCGGCAGATGTATGTTAATGTTCTACGATTATTACATTTCACCTTAATAACTGTGCATATCTATGCAATCGCATAGATAATACAAGGGTAAAAGATTCCCCAGAAAGAAAGTTTCATATGGGACCATGAAAATTAAATGTATGCATGACACAAGTAGCACACAGATTGAGCAACCAACACTTAACTAAAAATTAAAAAGACAACGTTGTCTAGTTACCCAAGCAGCTGCTCACTCAACCACCAGCAAACATACATGGGAATCGATGAATTATTGATGAAATCTGAGATCTGGGATATCACAGAGGATATTGCAGCAATAAACTAGTCATCAGAGAACATAGTGATCACTGGAATGATGCCTATAGGCTGTAAACAAAAGTTAACAAAAGTCATATGAAGCCCATCACGATTGCAGGCATATGAGGGAAGATTAACGTGCAGTGCCCTGATGGATATACCACTCCTATCAAGGCAGATTATATAGCTTGGTGACAGGCATGGATCCCCACAAAGGACTCTGATGAAGTAAAATTACTTGAAGATGTATATATAAGAGTGCAGTTAACTCTGTGACCCTACACATGTAATGTGAGACAAAATCACCATCAATAAACGCATGTCATCATTAGCATCTCACCCTCCCTTATGTCATTCAAATGGCCATCCGCTCTGGAAGTCCATAAAGTTGTGTCATGACCGCTCCGTCAGGTGGCGTGGAAATGGGTACAGTGCAGGCAGTATGGATGATTCACTGTAGATGAGGGACTAGGGGTGCTGTATGCCCATGACCATGATTGAGGTCAAGTGGACGCAGCCGCTGTGCGTGGTGACGTCACGTACAGGATGTACATGAGGGCGTACAATCCAACATGTTTCGCCCAATGCGCTTGGGCTTCTTCAGGGATAGGTGGGGCTTGTACCAGAGCCAATTTATACCCAGTGGTATAGCTATACCCTACTTAACCCTTAGATGTCACCTAATCGCCTCATTACACACACTCATTGATGCACAGTACCTCCAGCTAAGGATAGAGACCAGACTGAAAAATATCAGTTTATCTATACACCATTACGGGAATCAAATATACCTATTATCCTCCATATTAGTAACACAAAGTGGTTACAAAACCTAAACATTTTTTTACCTTATTGCATTCCTTGCATTAAGGTAAGAAATGTTTAGTCATCCGTATCACCCCCCTCAGCCCCACCTTATACTTACCTGAGCCCTCATTTGATCCAGCACTGTGCCTGTCTGCAGCTCTTCTCTCCCCTCACTTCCTGGTTTCGCTGGTTTTTGTTTTTTTGCATTAGGGTAAAAAACTTTTTCTATTTCTCTGCCCTCGCACCCCTCCTTCCCTGTGTGAAGGGGAAGAGAGGGAAGAATAGATCCAGTGCTGTTGATGGCTGCATCTATTCTCCCCTCTCTTCCTCTTCAAACAGCACGCAAGCAGGAGCCATTGATTCCTGCTGCTGTCAATCAAATGCAGTGAGGAGGAAGTGGAGGGTGGGGCTAGGTCCCGCTGTGTAAATCTATGGAATCCATAGGCTTCGTAGACACAAAACTCAGGAGCGAGCAGACACTGTGTGCCTCCATAGCAAGCGGCTTGCTATGGGGACACAAGAAGAAGAGAAGGAGCCAGAATCACCACTGGGGGACCCAAGAAGAGGAGGATTGGGGATGCTCTGTGAAAAGCACTGCACAGAGCAGGTAAGTATAAGGTTGTTTTAATTTACAAAAAAAAAAATTGACTTTAGTAACTGCTTTACAGTGTTTACAGACCTCTACAGGGTGATCACTGCTTCCACACAGAAATCAAGGGTCCTTCTACTGGTAGCATACTGGCATGGGATAGGCTTTTCTAAACGGTGGCTGCTTTTTAAAGAAAGCAATGTGTAAAACTTTGAATACATTTTGTTTTTGCACCTGGAGAGTATTTCACTTCTATAAACTGAATGTTCGACTGGGCTTTAACCACATAAAGTTTTTTAAAGGCTCATGTACATTTGCAGTAGCCTTTGAGCCCCTTATGAAGAGCGATTCACATTGCATCGCTTTTCAGAGGGTGGCTGACAGGTGGTTGGGAAGTGGTTTATTGTTTCATCAGCTCCTGTTTTAACCCTTAAAGCGGAGCTCCACCCAAAAGGGGAAGTTGTCCTCCCCCCTCCCTCCCCGTAGTCTTCAGGGACACGTGACCGGTCCCAGAAGACTACGGGGCCATTCACAAAGCGTATCACTTCTCTCGCATGTGCAGTGGTCTCCTGGCTGTGAAGCCACAAGCTTTCACAGCCGGGTGCCCACACTGAAGATGCCGGTGCCAGGGAGAGAAGACGGCTGGTGATACCAGCGGTGGTGAGGACACGGCTGGACCGAGGGACAGATAAGTGTCTGTATTTTAAAGGTCAGCAGCTACAATTTTTGTAGCTGCTGACTTTTTTTTTTTTTTCTAGGTGGAACTCCGCTTTAAAAGCTCGGACCACCACATGAATGGGTCCCATTGGGCTGCGGTACTGCACTCTAAATTCATTGAGGGATATAATTTTTGCCATGGCATGTGTACAACCCTGTCCAGCTGCCTTTGAAACCTAAGGATAGTCAGCAGTCAAGGGATTTCAAAACTGCAGCTCAGCCACCTTATTTTTTACGCCCCTCAAAACAAAAGCATCCTGCTTTCAGGTCATTCAGCTTGGATTTGAGATCAGTTGTAGATGCTTCTGAGGTCCTTGATGGGTGCTTCTTCAACTCATTCTAAACTGTAGCTAATTGCTTCAAGCTGCTTTAGTGTTCCTGCTGACTTGTATGGAGGCAAAAGTGCATACACACAAGCCCACACTTGAAATGGGTTTAAGAGTGAGAACAAACAGAGCTCACACCAAGTACCAAGTAAGAAAATGCTTACACGGCCATTATTTAGCAGTGCTGATTTATGTCCAGTTAGCCTGCAGATGACACAGGTTAATGTAAAGCTGACACAGGAAATGACAATGTAGCCCTACTGACTATGCAGTGAGGCACAAGTGCATAAACCTCAACTGTAGGCAAAAACCGAACTAAAATTGTGGCCAATATATATTAATGTAATACAACTGTGCATATAGGTATTTGTTACCCTGTAGCTAATATTCTCTTGTGATAACACTTGGATAAAAAGGATAATGGTATATAAATTCTACATTTTTTGTCATGATTGTTTTGATCTTTTTTACTTTACTTTCCTCAGTGCATAAACAATAATCATAGGCACAGAGTCAGTGGGTAATTTTTTTTCTTAATTAGTTTAACAGTTAGTCTATATAAACCCACATAGAAGATTCCCTAGTAATGTACTGTATGTTCCTGCTAATGGATTCTGAACTAATCTGAAAAATGTTTTTGATAAAACATAATCTTAAAAAAAAAAAGTCTATACAAACCCAATTAATAAGACCATGATTGCAAAGCTTTGTTATTGTATTTTATATCTAACAAAAGTAAAGCTTTACACGTTTTATAGATTACATTTTAAAATCTAATGGGAGGAGGTGTGAAAAGCATAATTCCCCCGCATAAGAACTTCATGCATATGCTGTTTTACAGGTCAAATCTCCAGAAGTGTTTGAGGATTGGGTAGCAAAGCTCCGTGACCATCGGTTGTTCCGTCAGAATGAAATATCTGTTTTCCCACATGATCTGAGTTCTCAGTTCTTCCCTATGCTGTCAACCACTGAATCTGCATCTAGCTTTGATCCAATTTCATCTCCACAGGTATATATCTATTTATATATGTATATATAGAGATAGTCACTGATTTCAAATAAAGGCTTATGTAGTAAAACATACTGTACAGGGATGTGGAAATTTTTCAAAAAACTATTTGTCCAAGGGACTAAATCGGGGTCCCAAACTACTTGTCCCTTATGACAATCTACTTGTCCTGATAAAAAAATTTTTTTTTAACCCAAACCATATTTAAATAAGGTCTTTATTGTTCTACTATTACTGAATGAGACAGTTTTATCACTAAGGATTTTCAATGGATGTATGTCCCTTTAAACCATGAAATGACTTTGCCAGGGTGAAAAATATGAAGGGTTGATCCACGTGAAAGCACGTGGGTGCTCAGTACAAGCACATGCTGAGCAGCCAAATCAAGCTGCAATGTCCACCAGGCTTGGATCATTTTTTTTTCCATTCAGCCCACTGATTGAATGAAAAATATGACGAATGTATGGACTGCCTTAATGATCCTACCTTAAAGAAGAATTTCATTAAAACCAGCAACTGTTGGGACAATGAACATCTTAGTCAGGTCTACGTAAAACATAATGTATAGAGTGCAGGGGCCAGGAGTAAGTAAAAAAACAAAACATATAGAGTGCAGCAGTCAAGATGAGCACCATGTTCACATAAGAGTCCCCCCCTTGCATCAAAGTTCCCATCTTTACCCCCTTACATCAGTGTCCAGCGGAGTCCCCCCTTACATCAGTGTCCAGCGGAGTCCCCCCTTACATCAGTGTCCAGCGGAGTCCCCCCTTACATCAGTGTCCAGCGGAGTCCCCCCCCTTGCATCAGTGTCCAGCGGAGTGCCCCTTTTAGCCAGACCTCTTTATAGCATCCATTTTGTGCCATAAGAAACTTTATGCAGTAAACAAATCTGATTTATTTTTATGAGGATGTAAGCAAAAACTTAAAGGAGTGGCTAATATACTTGGATTTTGCAAAAGTGTTCTCTACACACGGCTGATGTGTAAGGTAAAGTCTACAGGCTTGGAAAAATCAGTTTGTAAATGGATAGAAAACTGGCTAAAAGACCGTATTCAGAGAGTAGTGGTTAAAGCGGTAGTAAACTCTAGTAAAAAAAAAAAAAAAAAGTTTTCCCCTGCAAGACAAAGGCATAATGTGCTAGTATGCATTGCATACTAGCATATTATTTGAAACTTGCCTTAAAATGAAGCTCTCCAATGGCACACTGTCTCCAAACAGCAGGGGTCTACAAACTTTCTAAACAAAGGGCCGGTTTACTGTCCTTCAGACTTTAGGAGGGCTGGAGTGCCCAGTGGGAGTAGAAAATGTCCCAGCGTCAGTCGTAGTAAAAAATAAATAAATTACATAGTTCTTATAGTCAGTGGAAGGAGGAATAGTGTCAAATCATTGGTATTAGTTGGAGGAACGGTACCCCATCATTGGTGTCAGTGGGAAGAAGAGGGCCTCATCATTGGTGTCAGTGGGAGGAATAGTGCCTCATCATTGGTGTCAGTGGGAGGAATAGTGCCCTATCGCTGGTGTCAGTGGGAGGAATAGTGCCCCATCATTGGTGACAGTGGGAGGAGTAGTGTCCCATTTTTGGTGTTAATGGGAGGAATAGTGCCCCAGCTTTAGTGTCAGTGGGAGGAATAGTGCCCAATCATCGATATCAGAGGAAGGAATTGTGCCCATTATTTGGTATTAGTTGGAGGAATAGAGCCCCATCCTTGGTATTAGATGGAGGAATAGTACCTAATTGTTTATATCAGTGGGAGGAATTGTGCCCCATCATTGGTGTCAGTAGAAGGAAAAATGCCCCATAGTTGGTACCAGTGAAAGAAATGGTGCCTCCTTGCTGGTGTCAGTGGGAGGAATAGTACCCTGAGGGCCGGATAGAAGCAAGCAAAGGGCCACAGTTTGGAGACCACTGGCATACAGGATCAGATTGGATGCCAGCGGACTATTGTCCGCTGACACCTGCTGGTCCATAGAAGTCTATGGATGGACCGATTGGGTCCTCCTGAAAATGGAAAGGCGGACCCTATCGGTCTGCTCATGTGATAGAGGCCTAATACCTCATCTGGAATATGTGGTCCAGTATGTGGGCACCAGTTCACAAAAATTATATCGCGGAACTGAAGAAGATGCAGAGATGGGCAACTAAACTAATAAGAGGCATGGAGGAGCTATGAGGAAAGATTAGAGGAACTGAATTTATTCTCCTTTGAGAAGAGGCAAAAAAGGGGGAATATGATCAACATGTATAAATACATAAGTGGTCCATATAGTGAACTTGGTGTAGAGTTATTCACTTTAAGGTTATCACAGAGGACAAGGGGACACTCTTTACATCTGGAGGAAAATAAAATTAACCTCTAAATATGGAAAGGGTTCTTCACAGGAAATGTGGAATAAACTTCCTCGAGAGCTGGTTCTAGCCAGTTCAGTAGATTGTTTTTAAAAATGCCTGGATTCTTTCCTCAATGTAGAAAAATAACTGGATACTAATTTGTAGGTAAATTTGATCCAGGGAACATCTGATTGCCTCTTGGGGGATCGGGAAGGATTTTTGTTCCCCCCACTGGAGCAAATTGCATCATACTTTATTGGGTTTTTTATACTTCCTCTGGATCAGCTGTGGGTAAAGGATTGTGTATTTATTTTCTGTGGGTTGAACTGGATGGACTTACGTCTTTTTTTTAATCAGACTAACTATGCAACTATGTAATAAAGAGAGCCCCTCTGTTTACAATGATTCCAGATATTTCCTTAACTCAGAATATATACAAATTAAACCTGCATGAAGATTCTGCAGACATAAATGTAATATCTACACTTTTATAAACCCCTGGACAGTAGCTCTCTGGTAGAGCTGTGAGCAGTATTAAGGCTTCATGCAAACAGCCTACATGATAAAATTCCTGGGACCTGATACTGCCACGTACATTTGCATAAAGCACCCCAAGAGAAGGTGAAGTCGGCAACCAGATGAGAATTCGGCAACCAGATGAGAATTAATAAAATCAAACTTTGTTCAATCCAAAGGAGTTTATACACTTCCTACCACTCCATCCCCCACAGCTATTTCCTCCTGTGCCACCATCCCCTCCCTCCTAGTATGTAAGCTCGAAAGAGCAGGGCCCTCAATCCCCTCATGTTTTGCATTGTATTGTTATTGTTCTGTCACATGTTCTGTCCCCCTTTGTAATGTACAGCGCTGAGCAAACTATCGGCGCTTTATAAATACTGTATAATAATAATACACTATATTGCCAAAAGTATTGGTACGCCTGCCTTTACCCGCACATGAACTTTAATGGCTTCCCAGTCTTAGTCCGTAGCATTCAATATTGAGTTGGCCCACCCTTTGCAGCTAAAACAGCTTCAACTCTTCTGGGAAGGCTGTCCACAAGGTTTATGAGTGTGTCTATGGGAATGTTTGACCATTCTTCCAGAAGTGCATTTGTGAAGTCAGGCACTGATGTCAAACAAGAAGGCCTGGTATGCAGTCTCTGCTCTAATTCATCCCAAAGGTGTTCTATTGGGTTGAGGTCAGGACAGTCAAGTTCCTTCACCCCAAACTCGCTCATGCATGTCTTTATGGACCTTGCTTTGTGTACTGGTGCGCAGTCATGTTGGAACAGGCAGGGGCCATCCCCAAACTGTTTCCACAAAGTTGGGTGCATGAAATTGTCAAAAATGTCTTGGTATGCTGACACCTTAAGAGTTCCCTTCGCTAGAACTAAGGGGCCAGGCCCAACCCCTGAGAAGCAACCCCACACCATTTACCTCCCCCTCCACCAAACTTTACACTAAGCACAATCCAGTCAGACAAGTACCGTTCTCCTGATAACCTCCAAACCCAGACATGTCCTTTGGATCCTTTTGGTTCTAGAGTTCATTGGTGGCATGCTTTACACCACTGCATCCAACGCTTTGCATTAAACTTGGTGATGTAAGGCTTGGATACAGCTGCTCAGCCATGGAAACCCATTTTTATGAAGCTCTCTATGCACTGTTGTTGCGCAAATCTGAAGGCCACACAAAGTTTGGAGGTCTTTAGCTATTGACTCTGCAGGCGATTTCTGCGTACTGTGTGCTTCAGCATGCGCTGACCCCGCTGTGTCATTTTTACATGGCCTACCACTTCGTGGCTGAGTTGCTGTTGTTTCCAGTTGCTTCCATTTTGTTATAATACCACTAACATTTAACGGTGGAATATTTAGTAGCAAGGAAATTTCATAGATGTACTTATTGCACAGGTGGCAAGCTATCACGGTACCATGCTTGAATTCACTGAGCTCCTGAGATTGACCCATTCTTTCACGAATGTTTGTAGAAGCAGTCTGCATGCCTAGATGCTTTTATACACCTGTGGCCATTGAGGTGATTGGAACACCTAACTCCAATGATTTAAAGGGGTGTCTCAATACTTCTGGCAGTGTGGTGTATGTTCCAAAATAGAGCCAACTTGCGTATAACACCTGTATGCTCACCAATGTATGGTCTCAGCACACTATCTGCGTCCAAAACATACGTCTGTGTGCATGCGTGTGCTTTACACAGTCGTCAGTGCACGACTACATACAGCTGCCTGTTCTAATTTAAAAATTGCTAAAAAAGGTGAAGTGACCCTTTTTCTATTCATATTATTTAGAGTGATATGCTTCATACTAATTGTGGTCCTTCACCACTTGTGAGGTTGATTCCTCCACACCAAAGGTACATTAATCTGCTTTCTAGGTGGGTATGGATATGCTTGAGTTTGGTCATCCAGACCTTTTATGGCCATGTAGTCAAGAATTTGATGTCACTAATATCCCCCACGCATTTGTGTACATGGAGCCACAGCTGATATCATCCTGCACTGACAACTTCCGTCCAGGTTCAAACTGAACTCAAGCTCATCCCGAGCTTGTGGGGGACATAGGAGTATGCTAAAATCTATAAAAACCCTAAAACAAGAATGTACTATATTGCAGTTTACCAGTCCTTAGTTGGAGTGACTGGAATAGTTTTTT